AAAAAAATTGTTTCTAAGAAAAATGTAGTTACCGACAAAAATTGTACGTTTTAGGAGAATAAAAGTGCAATGTTAAAGCCAATTGTTTTATTTCTTTGGTATATCTCTTGCCAGTAGATTTATCACAGTTTTTGGTTTCATTTATAAATAAGTCTCTAAATGAACCTACCATATTAAAAATATTTGTAAGTTTTAAGCTAAGTATACAAAAACCAATAAAATTAAAACTTACAATTAAAGTCGCTTAACATTAAATGTTGTTGTTCAGAATCAATAAATCCTTTATTATTTAATTCTTTTAGTAAATTATCCAAACTGGTTATTTTTTTTCTTTTCGCCGTAACTTTTGACGTTATATTTTAATTTCATGTTTCAATAAAAGTTCATTACAAGAAGAATGAGATGTTTGTACTTCTCTATCAACACTTTTAGGTAAAATACTGTGATCGTCAATTAATTCTAAATCAGCATTCTCATTACTAATTTTTGGATCAGTACTAGTACTAGGCTCATCTATAATATAAACACATTTTTAATTGGCTATAATAACTGTCTTTAACAATTAAAGTTATTAATTAGTTTTACCTTTAAAAGAGGGCAAATCCCTATTTTTAGGTGGGTTTCTAAGTTTCTTAGGTTTATGTTGATAATATACTGGAAACGATGGAAAAACTGAAGGGACGGCATTTACTTTTAATATTGGTCTGTTAGCATCAGGACGAATTTGGTAGTCATTATCAGTGAAGTGCACGCTACAAATACGGCTCCACTGATTTGGTATAAAGTTTTTCCTTTTAATTGCATCCGTCCACAGTTTAGTTGTTACCTCATTGTTTAAAGGAAAACTATAAATATGTATACGTTACAAATAAAAATGTAAGTTTTTATGTGTTTTTAAATCATATTATCTTGTTGCGTGCCGTCGTCCAATCGTAACGATGGTTAAGTTTTTAGGATAATACTTCAAATAAAAATACTCAAATATAATTTAACTGTTTATTTTAAGAATTTTTCTAAGTACAAAAACATTAATTAAGAAATGATCTGGCGTGAAGGTGCTTGCGACTGTACATGTAAACCACATCTGAATATTGGTCTATTCCCAACCCCCTTATATACTTAGGTCCCGTGGGGATCAAACGTGCCGCGCTGTGCGAAAGTTATTTTCGATTGTTACAAATATAAGATTTATTACCTTAGTGACCTTGTTAATATTACTATTCGCGCATCTCTCATATGCGTTTTTACTAATTGCAGTATTAAAAAATTTAGCTATGTTCGATGATGCCTTCGGGTTTTAATTATTCCTTTCTACATTGTTCACCGATGGTAATTATTTATTGGTAATTGTAAGGACCTACTTTTATGTATGTCCGAAACATCGTATTACCCTCTAATTAAATTAATAGTTTCTTTTTATTATTGCGAATACTTTATTATTCATAATCATTTACCGATCTTGATTTATGTGGTCTCGCCCATATTGTAAGAGTCGTAAGGACCTACATTTATGTATGTCCGCAACAATCTATATTTCATACGTACCGAAAAAAGTGAATTAAGGAATTGCTTTTATAACGGTTTGAACATCCGTACGCAACGCAAGAAACAGGCATATTTATTTAATATTAGTAACTAAATAGTGTACAAAACAAAATAATAAATGATACCAAATAAATAATAAGTGCAGAAAAAGGAATGTTAAGGTTCACAGTCTGTTATAATTAATATTGTGATGTGTGGGGAATAGTGTTGATACAATATTTTGCCAACCCAAAACATGGCGGACAAATGATAACATAATCAATGCGTGCTTCAAGTGATATTGGGAGTTCGTCATCTAGTATAATATAGATATCTGTGGTTTTCATGTGCACATGTGTGATAATACCGTAATCAATAGTTGGGTGTTATCAATTTATTCGTTATCTCCTTGCATATCGATGTTTGACAGTGTAAATACGTGCGCATGTGTGATAATCCCGTAATCGAAAACGTCCCGTGTTAATCATGTGTGTGTGTGTGTGTGTGAGATAAGAGATTTTCCGCCGCCTCCGATATCACGTTGTTGTTCACGTCGTGCACGATCGCGACTCGCGCGCGCTTGCGCTCATCGGACCCCGCGCCGATGAGCACCGCTCCGCCCAGCGTGGTGCCGACGACCCCCCCCCTCTCCAGCCCATACAGTACCCCTCAAACACATACGTGCGGCTATCTTGACCTCCTGCATCTGATGCCAACTTCGCCAACTTATCGCATCACAGCACTCTTGTTAACACTGATATCTTTAGTCATTTTTCGTTATAATTCAACCCGTTGTAAGTGCTAACGTATTTTATGTGGTTATTAGTCTTATTCTTATTTCGTAGATATTATTCAAGTACAGAGTTAGCAAGGTGTACATGTAGTTCACCTGTTTTAATTTTTTCTTTAGCTCTACATAGTTATTCAGTGCGCTATGGCCGAATGAACCGTGAAAGATGTCTACTACGTTGCTACGACTTACACCGCCAATGATAATACTAGTGTTGCTTCTGCTACTGTTGCTGCTGTCGGTGAAGAACAAATTTCCTGCACTAGAAAATAATAAACTAGATTCGTAGATGGGGAACACTTCTATGGAACTGATCGATTGCACTATGTTTACAATAGACTTCGACGATCGTAAGTTTATCGCTATAAGACTGGATCCCGAGAACGATTTCAATGTTACAGTACGTATTGCGACTTCAACACACAACGTGTGCATTTCACCAGACTTTCTGCGACGTCTGTACTCGCTGATGGGTAATATTTTATCGATTATCACCAATTCCCCGGTTAAAACTCATGAACGACTGTTTCTCAAAGACGAAACAAACACATTGTCCAAAACGTCGTATTGCGGTAATAATATGCTAGTTATCGATTCGCATAGCCGTGACGGCTCTCGCGTGTTGCTGAGCAGAAAAAATCTTTTAAAATTAGAAGACTTGTAACGCTGCATCGAGGATTCGATTACGCGTAAACTTATTGTTACACGTGACACGGTTGGCAAACAGATGAAACAAATAGTTTTGTATTTATCGAAGAATATATACAGAGCAAGTGGTACGTCTGATGTGGAGACCGCTACTATTATTTGCAATATTCATAATGACTTGATCGCCATGCAAATACCATGCACGTTACACAATCGCAGTTTACTCGAACAGATTAAATTATTCGCCGTCGATCAATTGGCGCAAGGTTGGATTACGATAGTTTCCAATGGATAACGACGTTGGCTACACATTTGCTAGCAATGATAACAACAACAATAACAACAACAACAACATCATTAATGATAACTCCGTTACTTATCCACTATCAGAGGTGAATAATACCCTCACGTCTATGTAAATATATTAATGATAATAATTTTATCTTTTGTAGTAGCAGCCCTTTGACGAAAACGACGGACCGTTGTATTTTTATTACTTCCGTTAATACATTATCTTTCCGACTCAAACACATAAAGGGTGAAGAGTTGGAGGAGGAGGAGGAGGAGGAAAAGAAGGACGTGGAAGATTAGAAGAAATATGATGGTGAGTTATAAAATAATTGTATATAATATTGAAATAAAATTACTCTCGTTTTTCACCAAATATGTGTTATTATTTATTAAACATAAATACATTGTTACAAAAATGTTATGTATATATATATATATATATCTTGATTAGATTTTTCTGACTTCAACGGTAAACGGGTTGTATTGAATGACTCGATCATGTATGACCAAGCAGTAGGCTGCAGTGTTTGCTGGAAAATTACTCTCGCTCTCAAATTCAATTCTCAAATCGACGCTAAACGTTTTAACATAGTCATTTTGCCGTAAACAATTAATACAGATAAACGGTCCCAATTTTTTAAACTTTTCCCTACTAAGACACGGGTGCGCGTTCAAACGTTCGTAATAATATTTTTGAAAATCCACATAGTTCTGATAAAACACTGTAAACATATTTTTATCAAAGCTCTCGCTAAAGTTCTCGTACGGGTATTCTGTCGAATTTATGTATGCTTTGACGTTTGTCAGCGAACAAGTGTCGTAATCGGAAGCGGAATCACTAACGGAAACGCTGCCCATGATATTTGTGAGAAACGCAATTATTAAACATCTAGGTTTTTCCACATGCGAACAAGTCTTGACCATCCACGAGTGTTTTTTCGACTGTGGAATATTAGGATACTCGCAGAGTTCCCAGTTTCGGAACGCGCAACTAATCATTTTTTTACTATCGATGATTTTCAACAATCTCAATCTTTCGCGATCGTTAACCTTGACCAACGGCACTTTCCACAGTACACGTGTCAATACTATGGCGCATTCTTTCAACTTAGTTTTCACCACCTCCAAATTAAGATCATCGCCACCCGTAATGCCTACGAAATTAAGACAAGTGAAATCGCTCATAGATCTGTTTATGATCAGTTGTTGAATACAGTTCACCAAAATCCGGTTGTAATCCTCACAAAAGCCGAAAACGTGTTTCAACGGTATGCAACCGCTGAACGAATCGTCTTTAGTGAAATTTTTATTTCCGTTATCGATATCCTAAGCCGCGTTTAGCAAACAATTAGCATCGGCTGGTGTGTATGAGCAATAACTCTTCATCGCACTGGTAACACCGGGTTTTTTAACTCGCTGAATCTCAACAGAGTTTGTCTCGTATTTCATTTCGTTAAACAAGTTCGTCAATCCGTTATGAGAGATATTGATCTCGCATTTCAAATCTGTAGGTTTTATTATTTTCCCCTCAATATAGATGAAACTCTCGCTAGGCAGAGTGTGAGCGTCGCGGTTCTGTATAGCGATACGTATTTCATTGCCCTTGTCCAACGCACTTGTTGAAAACGGTAGAAACGAGTGGGTAAACATCTCTTGAATAAGTGACTCGTTAACGTAACCGCTGGTCACGTTTAAATATTCTGTATCCATGTAACAGGATTAGAATGGGTTAACTGACGTAAAAATTCACAATTTTTCGAGGACAATGTTTTTTTCAAAGCTCTATAATCACGGTGACGAGGACGATGCTTAACTACTGCAGTACCGCATTTGTCAACTGGTTTTAGAGTTTGAAAAAATATAATATAAAAATGTATTCCACGTACAGCGTGGTTAAAGCGTGTATCGTAGAACGATTCAATCTCACTCTAAAGGAGAAAATGTTTAGATTTTTCATTGCTAGAGGTTCACATGAGTGGTATTCGTTACTGCCCGAGTTGTTTGAAAATTATAATAACACCAAGTACAGAACTATCGGTATGACACACATGCAAGCCGAGTCGGATGAGTTGCGGTTAAAAACAACGGTGACACCAGCTGCGAGGGTGACCGCTAAATGTCGTAGATGTGCTGAACGATTTAACGTCGGGGATAAAATTCGCGTTACTGTGCATAAAGGTTTGTTCACCAAAGGATATCTAGCAAATTGGTCTGCAGAGATATTTACTAGTATCAAGGTGAATAAATCCCCGCCTTCAACGTTTATACTGCAAGACTATACGGGTAATACTATCGCCAGAGGGTTCTACGCTGAGGAAATATGTAAGACCATACATCCAAACGATTATTTAGTGGAAAAAATTGTACGCGATAAAGGACCACGAGCTCTAGTCAAATGGTTGGGATTCGACAGCTCGCACAACAGTTGAATAATTAAGAGTGATTTTAAAATATTAACACAGTCTTTATCCGATTATGAACCTGTTCGGGGGTTCCGCTGCAGGTGCATTAAAAATGTCTATCGAAGACCAAAACAGGCAATTTGAAAAAGAGTTTAAATCGCATGATAAATCTATCGCCAAAAATGAGGCAATGCTTATTTATTTAAATGTAAAAGTTAATGAGACTACAATCATCGTGTCGGATACAACTATAAAAGCTGATGAAACGGGGAAAATTATCGAGAATCTACTCGTAGAAAATAAATATTATAACTCATTATCAATAAATAATTCTATCATTGATGAATTGCGTGAAAACGTATCCAGATTGATTATGATTAGTGAAAATCACACCACCCCCACCATCCCCGCCGTTAACATCATCTCAACTGTTATTGGCACCCCACTACCAACACCGAAGATCGTCACTCACTAGTCTAGTATCGTCTGTGAAACATGTAGAGAACACGACGTAACCGTCAACATTAACAATAGCAGCTGTAACAAAAACAGCAACAATGTCCGCAATATTAGACATTCAATGCATACTGGACGCTGATTGTAAATACAGGATTAAAGAGATGTCTGTTGCTGCTGTAGACAATTAAGCTGTACAACATTGGATCTTTAAACACAGTCCGGTGATTTCAAGGCAAAATGTTAAAAGTAGAAAGGTCAACTCGTGGTTTCAACGCAACTATCATCAGCTATCGTCGGATTGCGGCGATGTGGAGTACGGAGAAATCGAACGGATTTTTAAATCTCTGAAATTTCAACACTTATATGTGAAAGGCAAGCAAAAAAAAAAAACAAATCTTAAACGATTTTATGCCGAAAGTCAGCGTGATCAACATGGAAGAAATGGGGTGTTCAGGATTAGATCATCTACATACGAATGCTGAGTCATGGCCATGCTGCATGTATCATATGGAATACAAACAGTGTACATTATATAAAGTTTTCGTGTTAAGAAAATAGTAAATAAATAATTCTTAAAATCTTTGTTATACAAATATGTGTGTTGAATACAATATTATTTTCGATGAAAAAAGTGTATGTTTTTTTCCTCCCTAGAATTAAGTGCAGTCTGTAAATATTAGAATAAGACGAGTTTTACTGTCATTTATGACAAAGGATAAGTAATTACTTAATCTTTTTCCTGTTATGTTTGGACTTAGGGGTTATATTCTTACATTTAAACATGGCGCCTATTGATTTTTGGTGATAAAATATGATTTTTCCATAAAAAAATTTAAAAATAAGTCTGTATTTTATAGAAAAATGACCGTATGATCTTTAAGTGATTTTTCACGTAGAAAATATATTTTCACTGAGATAATAACCAATATATGGTTGTTAAAATTATACATATATATTTATTAAACAGTAGACTATAGGAGTGTCAAGCGTCGGTTTTTTATCACATTGAATCTAATGACAAGATATTTAAAAAAAAAGAAAAAAGAAATCATAATAATAAATAAAATAACGGGGGAGGGATAGCGAAAATCAAGACCTTTGGTACTGCACTATCGTCTGCCGACCGATCAGTTGTGTCAGTCTTCAGCTTTCTCAGTCGATTCAATTTTTGCTACTACAACTACTCCTACCATTACTATATACAATATTTTAAGTAAGTTTATTTCATATTAAATCTCGATGTATAATATATTTAGTATACTAAACATAATATAGTAACGTTTAGTATAATGTATTACTTTATTTTAATTACAATTAATATTATTTTAGGATTTTTCTAAAATTAAAATCAAAAGGTAGCTCCAACTCTCAAGTCAGAGTCAAAGAATTAAAGCCTTCACGCACTACATTACATCTTTACTTCTCGATACGTAAGCAAATTTTAATATTTGCTATAACCGGTATTAGCTATTTAACCTAACCTCTTTAAATATTTTTAACATAATTAACTAAACGTAACGCGTAAAAATTTTAATTCCATTATTTAACGAATTTTTATTTATTTATTTACTATCAGAGTAGTATAATGAACCCAGAAAACTTACCCGACTTAGTGTTATCATGCGATGAACTATGGGATCTGACTAAAGAAGAGTGTGATTCTATTGTAGAGAATATTTTATCACGTGACTATTTCAAGCAACCTCATATAACGTCGAGTAACGTGTAATCGTCTTACCCTATACACAACATAAATTTTAATATTGCTACCGATTTTTTAATAATACTTTGTATAAAATTAGATAATCACGTGAGCGATCTCACATTAAAATTTTGCGGGCAGCAATGTATGGTTGAGCAGTTAGAACTCGATCAAATACAAGACTATTCATATATATTTATACGGTTCAGCAACACAGCATTCTGTCTACATTTTTTGATAGTTTTTTAACTCATAAATGTAACACAAAAATTACAAAATATTATAAAATTATTATTTATTCATTTTAAATTTTAATAAACTTCGAATATAAAATTATAAATTGTTATCACTGGATTACAACATAGTGATATTTTACATGGTAACAAGATATTAACAATTATTCGGGTCGCGTCTTATCACATCAGTTGAAATTATAGATTATTTATTATCAGCATGGGCATAGATAGGAAATATTTTCGGAGAGGGTTTTGGTCTGGATTTATATTAGTATTATAAAACATTAAAATTAAATATGAATTATTTATTTAATACAATTGAATAGCGATACAATATTTTGTCCATATAAATTACAAATTTAAAAATATAATAAAAAGTATAAGATAAAACCTTGTTTTCTTTGTTGAAGTTTAAAAATATTGATTACTTCTTCCATGTCAATATTAATTTCATGATGAACGCTTAGCAAAGAAAGTCCAGTTAATCGTTCATTTCCTGTCGAATTTCTATATTATGATTTAGTACGTCGTAATATTGAAAAAGTTCTTTCTATAGTATTAGTTGATACGGGAAGTGTAGAAATAATAGTTATCAATTGTCTTGCATTTGGAAAAAATTCAGAATCACATTTTAAAAATGCTCCAAATGCTAAGAATGGTATACAATCTTCTTTTTCTCTTACCCATTTGGATTTCCTCAATAAATATTTTAAATTAAACTTTTGATGATCCGAAATTATTGTCTTGTAAAAGTCCCATAAATTAATAACATATTTCTCGTTTGTAAAAACCACTTTATTCGGCATAATATTTTGAAAAGATAAAATTAAATCATAATGCTGTTTAAATTTACTTTTTAAATTTGTTATAGAATTATCAACAGAGACGTATTCAGAAATTTGGCGCCCGGTTGCTAACGTTTCCCCCCCCAAAAAAAAAAAAAAATGATTCAACTTTATCCTCCTACTGAGTGCGTCGGAGCTTACCTTCCAGTAACCACCCGTGAACCGTACAACAGCCTTTACGTTATCGTTATCTTTTCAAGCGCTTTCTAACTTATTTGTTACATATTTGTTTTTAATGTATTCACTTTTTGTATTCTCTGGTGGAACCAGTTCTCATAGATTATTTAACCAAAAATTTCCATTGAACAATTTTTAGTTGTTAGAAAAAGAAAGCATAGTTTAAACTTTAAACATTATGTTGTCTTAATAAATTAGTCACATATATAATATAGGTTTATTCAGTGGCGTATCCAGGATTCATTTAACAGGGGTGTTTTAAAATGTAATCAACTCATGGTAATTGGGGGCTCTGCTCCACCCGTATTACATTAATAAATACCATGTATTTATATAAATGATTATATTAATGTCAATGATTAAA